CTTTAACAACACATTTTGGCGGACGTTTGGCAGAAGTAATGAATGCCCTTTAATGTAAGTATGAATTTGAGATAGACTATAGGACTACGTCGAACAGCGTGATAATGATAGAATTTGGTAGATACAATGTCAAACTACCAGAGATAATAGGAACTGCCCTTTTTGTGGATCTATTCAAATAGAAGACGAAGTTCACTTTCTTTTTAGTTGTTCTAAATACTCTTTGATTAGGAATCATTTTTACAAGAAAGTTATGACTCTCATTCCAAATATTACCCAGTTACCTGTGAACGTTTTGATCAATGAACTCAGTGATGAACTTATCTAACTACTATATCAATACACAATTCATGAAATCTACTTCAGCTTACTTTCACTTTCGCGACGGATTGTTTACAAGGTTGTCTAATTGTCCGGTGATTAAATTTTAGTTCTTATTCTTAAAATATAATTATAAATAGTTGCAATACTGTGTATGTAACAATTATTCACCGAAGTGGAGGTGGCTAGTCGGTGGGTATTTACGGAGCTGCGAAGCATCGAAGTAAATATATCTACCAATAGCCACTAACACTGAGGTGAATAATTGTCTTAGTATATACTAAAACAGTGAGATAATTGAGCACAAAATGATGATTTTTGACTCAAATACTGTTGCCAACGATTACAATTTTGGCGCGCAATGACCGAACGGCCGCGGCCGTCGCTTTTTCTTGCCGACAAATAAAACTTTTGAAGGCATTTGTTTAGCTCTTGCGGGGAAATTTCTTCAAAAGGAGTTGTGAATTCTTTTTGTATTTAAAATCATTCTGNGAAGTAAATATATCTACCAATAGCCACTAACACTGAGGTGAATAATTGTCTTAGTATATACTAAAACAGTGAGATAATTGAGCACAAAATGATGATTTTTGACTCAAATACTGTTGCCAACGATTACAATTTTGGCGCGCAATGACCGAACGGCCGCGGCCGTCGCTTTTTCTTGCCGACAAATAAAACTTTTGAAGGCATTTGTTTAGCTCTTGCGGGGAAATTTCTTCAAAAGGAGTTGTGAATTCTTTTTGTATTTAAAATCATTCTGTAAAAAAAGATTATTAAATTTAGTTTTAAGCTTATTTATGAACAATTAGTTAACTAAATAAAGTAACGCAAGACTTAAGCTCAATTTGCATTTGTAAACAAAAAACTTTTTCACCGGTTTTATCGATAAATTCGAGTCAAAAAGACAAAGCTTTACCGTTAAAACTTCCAAACCGAACTTCGTCACTTTCTTCGTGTATTTCGAGAACAGCTTGCTTCATCAGTTGTGATATTTCTTTGATTGTTACGTCAGCAAACCGGAAAGGCATTTTGCTCCCATTTTACGCGAGTTTGGCGTCGCTCGCTCGGAGGAACTGGAGGTGAATCAGTGAATAGTGCAGGATAGTCACTGATCGAGTAGCCAATCAGAGCGCGCGAAAAACACTATCCAGTGTTTTAGTATATACTAAACTTGTATGGTCCTGCAAATAAAGCTTGTTGTTGTTGTTGTGTCCTTTTACGTCCCACACAATTTGTAGTTGTAAGGTGGTGAGACTGGGCCTACGGTTTATCGTCCGTTGGTGTAAGAAAGCTAAGAAATTTAAGTCTAACATTAAAGATGTTTTCACTAAGACAGTACTGTCTTGGGGCCTGTTTTACCTGGTGGCTTATTCCTCCCGCGGGGCTTTCCTATTGGCCGAACGGCACTTATCCATAAACCTCTCTTACTATGTTGTACAAAGTTTTCCAATCACGTTGGGAAAGGCAAATTCGTCCGAATTATCGGAAGGTTTGAAAAGTCGGAGATAAAATTACAGACCAGTGTTCAACTAGTGAAGGGAAGATACGTTTGGTTCGAATTATCCTGAATTTCGAATCTATATCACGCAAATTACTTTAAAAAACTGAAAGGATCAAAAGCACATGAATGACATCAATTATTTGAAAATGTGACAAATGTTCCCTTTGTCCATCACAAAGAGAACACATTATCTCCTCTAGGAATAAATAGACGTGACGAACCTCACTGATATATGATACCACCTAGTCTCCTATACCAATAACAACTGATGGAATTCATGACGACGGCTAGGAGACTGGCGACGAAAACTGAAGACCTCTCTCCTACGCAGAGGTTCCCTCTGGTTGTCACAATAAAAATAGCAATAAGTTGAGTTCTGTAAATTGCTTTTTGGAGCGAAATAATTAAGATGGCATTGTATAGTTACATGGAATCAAATTAATTATATTCAGGACCTAAGGTCACTTACACAATCTGGCATTGTAACCTAGGAAAGCCCATTTCTTTTTGTGTGAATACTAAGATTTAAAAAACACAACTGTTGCGATAGAACTTATGTCTGTAATCACTTATTACTCCGTTAAAGGACTTATTTTGAATCACCACCAGTTTTTGAAGCTGTTTGCGACCCAAGTAAATACAAGACTGGCAAGGATCAAGCCCTGGGAGCGGCCTCTAAAAAGTGACGTTATTTTCTAGCATATTCAGAAAGAACAAGATAAAAAATGTTCACTTGCCAAAATTAGCCTGTTAGTGCAAATTGGTGGCACTGGTTTGCACCGGTTTGCTCTGATGACCCCATAACTGATCCTTCCAAAATTGACTTGGATCATAACGTTGAAGATCACGGAATTACATTGAGTTATCTGAGCTTCACGTTGCTTATCTCTCCTCACCAATTTACACTAACAGGCTGATTTTTGGAAAGTGAACAATTTTCATCTCGTTCTTTCTGAATATGAGAAGGGAAGATTTGGCTTTGAAGAAAATTCGATTAATTGGTTTACAAGCTATCTATCCGACAGATTTCAAGCTGTTTCCCTGGATAACGAGTTGTCGAGTCCCTCAGCTGTCCAAAGTGGAGTGCCTCAAGGGAGTATCCTTGGTCGGGTTTTATTTATGTTGTATATTAATGATCTACCTTCCTGTGTTGATGTCTGTAAAGTTATGATGTATGCTGATGACACAGTTATCTTTTTCTCGGCTCCACTAATATCGGAAATTGAGTTACAGTGAAATTTGGAACTGATTAATCTGTCTGAGTGGCTGTCTACAAATAAACTGATTCTCAATTTAAAGAAGACTGAGTTCATGGTTTTTGGCAACCACCCGAGACTATGTCGCCAATACATCGATGGGGCTCATATAACGTTGGGAGGAGAATCTGTGAAACACTGTGATGCCTTTAAGTACCTAGGCGTAGTTTTGGACAACAGTCTTTCCTTTAATTTGCATATTGACTATGTGAAGAAGAAAGTTTCTAAAACACTGGGGATGTTCTCAAGAAT